AAATTTAACTGCATCTTTCAAAAAAGTAATATACATAAATATGAAGCTCAACATATAAGGCTAATTTTGAAGAAAATGTGATCTCTGGTCGTATATGTCAAAGCTTAGGGTGTTTGCAATGTCAAAGCTTAGGTTGTTTGCAATCTCGATTCTTAGGTGGTTTGCAATGACGATAACTAAGCTCGAATTTTCTATGCACATTCACGATGTATCATAAAGAAGATATCCTCTTTTCATACATTTCCAACCTTTTTGTAAAAAACTAGTTCTTCTTATGAAACAGTTAAATGTTGTCTAGCACAAAACATTTAAGGTTTGTGTTCATAACCATGATCAGGATGAATTAGCATCGCCTTTTCCAATGATTATATATAGAGGTATATATATTATGACTTTATTCTCATTTCTCATATGAGCTGCTTTGCTCTCCACGTATTCTCTAAAGGCCAAATATTCTTGTAAGATCAATTTTCTCAACCTTATTTTGTAGTCTAATTTGATTCCTGCATAGAGATCAGAGTACCTCATCTTTGCTTACAGAGAAATTGAGTGTTTCTTGTCTGTTAATATGCTAACTCTTATCTTCTTTACATCGCCACTAACTTTTGTGCCAATGTATTTAAGACAATAATCAAATTACGCTTTCCTACTCTTATCCTTGTCTTCGTTAATCAATGTAATAATTAATGACTGAGATCATAGACGAGTTTCCATATGAATTTTATAAGTTTCATAAACTAAATCTACTAGTTTCGGCATTTGATTTGGTTTCCAATATCTTCTAGTTTTATAGAAAATTGGAGCAATTAGGCTGAAAATAATGCAAAACAAGCATTTAGGAGATTGAACAGTTTTTTAGCGTTAAATGTTTTGCATCAGAAAGAGATATTTCCACCATTGAATTAAGCTCAAATATCACCACAAGATATATGAGAGTGCTCCCTTTTATTCCCATGTCAAAACTTGCAAACTAGGAAATAACGTCAAATTTATGATAAATCATAATTTATGGGAACGATAAAACACACACGATTAGTCAACAGAGTTCGGCCAAATGATATCCATTTATAAAAATGAACATACAATATGAGTTTAATATCTTTGAGTATGAAGTATTGAACAAACAACTCATAGAATATAATTTCTTTATAGCAATTTGTTATGAACTTTATTCCATTATGTATTGTCTTATAATAAGTATGGAAACTTAGTAAATATTTGTCATATGGAACATACGATCATGTTGTCGTGAACACTCATTTTCTCTGTTACAGGTTGTTACCTATGTTTCTTTTGTATTTTCCGAAATCAAAATGAAACAAGAATATAACGACCAAAACACAATTTTTTCTTTCTTTCTAACAATCCAACAATTTCAAAATTTTGGGATTTTTACAGACTTTTCATAATTCATTATAAGTTTGTGGTAAAAGTCCTTAGACTCGCGGTTTTGTAAGATTAAAACCTAGGGTTCACTAATTCGAATGCAGAATAGTGAGGTTCGTTAAGGGACCAACAATACTCTCTAATCCTATGGGATACAAGTTCAGCTAAGCGATCAAAAGAGGTTTAATTGTCACGATTAACTAAAGCAAATAAGAGTAAAATTCGGTTGAAAACAATAGAAGGAAAGAGTTAGATCAAGGGATATCTCAGGTATTAGGACATCAAAACCAAACAATTATTCAGGTTATCAAGTTATGAACCAATCTAGAACTCAACCATAGATTCAAGAGGACCCACTGTCGTGGCATCAACTACTTCAACAAACAATCTAACACCCTAAACTGTCGTTTGAGGTTACAAAGAATGAAGAGCATTAAACGATTTGGGTTGATTTGTTCACGAGTTGCTTTAACTTCAACTTTCGTTGGCTAAAGACAAC